TGGCTGGGGAATTCTGGGAGTTGAAGTCCATGCAGCTTAAAGTCACCAAGGTTGAGAAACACTGTATTAGAGTAATTTTTTTTCTTCCTAGCGTTTTTCCTGCAGGTGCGAGGTCCTTTTATTTTTTTCCTGGATCAACCGAATGTTGATCAATTGATTGCAACAGGAATTGACCGACCGGCTTGTTGCCCAAGCCTGACATTGGGGGCTAAGAGAGAGCGACTGGCCCAAAGTCACCCAGCCGGCTTTCGTGCCTCAGGCGGGACTGGAACTCGCTGTCTCCTGCTTTCTAGCCTAGATCCTTCACCACTAGATCAAACTGACTCTCTTATTAGAGTAAGATGGATAACGTGACTATTTCTTTTCCTGGCATATATTAGCATAATATATGCCAGGAAAAAATAGCGAGGTTATCCATCTCTCCTTTCATGGCTGCAAGGTACCCATAGTTTCTCCTGAATTTTTTTTTATTTTTAATGCTGTCTTGATGTCATTTTTGGAAAAACATGCTTTCAGTAAGCATAATCGGATGGAAGAGACCATAACTGTACATACCTAGAAAAAAAAAGCAAGCATCTTTTTTTTAAAAATCCTTTGCAGATGGTATAATTAGAAATCTTTTGCAAATGAAACTGCTTGCTGAATTGTACAGGTGGCCTGGCCACAGATTGCACGCCCAAGTACAGTTTCTGCAAGTTTACTAATGTTTGCCTGGACAGTGGTAAAGAACGCAGGATCCACGGATGCTGCTGAATTTTTTTGGTTTCGGAGCCCTTTGCATTGCGCCCTTTGTGGAATAGTCAGTATTTCGTACAGTATTTATAGCAAAATCTGGTTGTGTAGATACCGTGAAGTAAAGGGGTCTGTGCTGAAGATAGCACTGTTGAATCTGGAAGAAAAGGGAGGGTGGGGGGGGGTTGAAGCCTTGTGGCAAGGGGACTTTTGTGCAGGTGAAATGACCATTTTGGTTTGTCTGTTTTGCTCTGGCGTTCAGTAATTGTTTCTTGTCTGTGTCCTTCAGAATGGGACTCAGCACCCCTCTAAGCACAGCGCCCCGACTGACCACGGACGGGTAGGTCAACCGCGAACCCCCTCCTGTTCTCGAACAGACCCTCGTAAATGCCTGTTTTGCATTTCGCGTTGTCTTCATTTCATCCCCTCCACACAGCCCAGTCGGAGTCGGCAATTTAAGCACAAGCCCGCCAGGTCTCCTCGGAAGTAAGGGCCCAGTGAGTTCAAGGGGGTTGATGCCCAGGTAAACACGTGTCACTGGCAGCTGCAGGGTGTATGCTTTCCTTTTTTTAGAGTGATATTGATTGATTGATATAGCCGCCCACTTTTCATGACTCTCGGCAGCTTACAATAAAATAAATAAAAGAGACAAAATACACAGTATAAAAACAAATGAAAATAAAAATGCATATCTTGCCTGTTGGGAGCTCAAGGTGGCATAGATAGCCCTTCTTCCTCTTATTTTTCCCCAGGGCAACAACCCTGTGAGGTAGGTTGAGTTGGAAGAGCATGATGGCCCCAAATCAGCCAGTGGGCTTCCATGACTGAGACCCGCATCTCCCCACTCCAGCACCTGCTATGTTGAGAAATTGCACCCAAGCGGGTTTTCCCCAACGGGAGATCCTATGCATAAGAGTTATATCTGAAATAAAATCAGAAGAAGATTTCACACTGATTTAAAAAAGCTACAGAAATGTAAAAGTAGTAAAAGAAAGAAAATATAAAAGGGTAAAAGAAGAAGTGAAAGGGAAGAGAAAGGAAAGAAAAAGAAAGCTATCTAAAGAAGTGATGTCCAATCTTCCTTGCAGAACTTACAAGCATGACCGTTACCATCTCCACCCTCCCAAATTACAGAGCATGGTTCCCTTCTCGCCAGAGACAAACCTAATTTTTAAGCAATAAATCCCCAAATCCCCAGTTCATTTTGGCCCATTTTCAGCAAAAAGTTCATAAAGGGTTTCTGGTCTTCTATAAAAGTAATTGTGGTTCCCTCCTTAATCCAAGAAACCAGTTGAGCCATTTCTGCAAATTCAGCCATCTTCACAATCCATTCCTCCATTCTGGATATTTCTGTATTCTTCCACTTTTATGCACGCATAAGCGTTCTATTGACAGGTCCGCCTCGTGCTAACCCTGGCTGATCGTACCTAATTTGGTTTTGATTTCTTTTTTTTTTTTTTAATTTTCAAGGACAGTGAATCTTCAAAACACCTCCAGCTTGGTTAACTGACGTGCTGCTTAAGTGCCCTGTCTCTCTCTTTTTCATACTGATGGGTGGGGGGGAAAATTCCCAAGTCCAGTGGTCTGTTTGTAGGGAGCTATTTTTCCAGTGATGATTCACATCTTGCAAAGGAGTGAAATTCATGGAAGGCCCTCTCCGTAGAATAGAAACACTGCATGGAAGGGGGGAGCTCTCCAAAGATCAATTTTTATTGGTATTGATTTATTTAAGCCATTTATACAGGCCCCCCTCTCACTACTGTGACTCTGAGTGGGTAGATAAATGTTTTAAGAGGCAGATGGGTGGATATGATT